GTGTAGCCGACATGAATTCCGGACCTGCAGACTGACTGGAATTTGCATATATATATATATATTATATACACATTCACAATGATTCGCATGTTGCACGCATAATTTCAATTCCCGATTGGACGAAGCAGCTGTGCACCTTGCGACCGTAGCTGCCAGGATTTCGGTGACGAGCGGCTGCTGGAAATCCTCAAGGATTGCATAGACGAAGCAATCAGAAATGAGGGGGTTGGAAGCTCAGGCATATGTGGCTGTTGTCCAGAAGATGACGGTCAGCAGCCCACATCTTTTTTCGAAAGCTCTTCTTGATGCCTCAAACTATCCCGAGTTTCGCCTAAGGGGATGCAAAAGCAGAACACAACTCCTGCCATGAAGTGTAACATAAATAGTATATATATATATATATTATATATATATACATACAATATACCAATGTACTATTGGGATGGAAATTGAACTTGTGTATGCAACATGAGCTTGGAGCACCGAGATTTCAGCTTTGTCGAGGCAAAAGACTGCTACAGCCAGGGCCCTTGGAAGGTGTCAAAGTTGGCTCTTTTGCCCTTTTTGCAGCTGAATTTGGATAAGACGTATGCTTCGCGTGGTTCACATCGACAGAGATATATCTGATAGCATGATTCGATTGCAGTAGGGCTTTTGTTTTTCTTTTGCATTTTGTAAAATGTCTCCAGCAAAGGACGTGACACCTTGCGGAATCCATTCAGAGCTGCCGCCAAGGCAGCACGCCTCTGCACTGCGCGGCGGAAAGCGGCAACACGGTCCTTGTGAAGCGGCTGCTGGCGGGGGCGGCGGCGAATTTGACGGACCGGCGTGGCCCGGGGGCCTGGGCCTGGGGGCTGGGAGTCGCGTTGAGGTTCCGAAGTGTGGTTTCAGGATTTGGCAGCTTTTGGGGTGATTGGAGATGGAGCTTTGGAGTGCTTCAGCACTGAAAGGTCTAGCTTGAAGTGAAAATACACCTTCAAATCCTTCAACAATTTCGAAAAGAAAGCCAACACCAACATTTTTTTCACATGGCATCATGAAATGAAATCACTTCGGTTTTCATCTTCGAGATAGGTTTCCTCCCAGCAGGTTTCCATGCAGTAAACCACCATAAAACCTTTCCGGTCTCTCGGAGTCCACGGACCCCATAGCGGCTCCTCCAAGCTTCCGACCTTTGGAACCGCTCCACTCCACGGGCCTCACCGACCCGCCGCCTGCGCCGGTCCCCGGAAACCTCCAGGGGCCGCACTTCCGAGGTCAGACGCCCCTTCACCAGGCAGCGGCAAATGGCCACGCAGATGTGGTCAAAGTGCTGCTGGCGGCCAACGCAGCGGTGGACGCCAAGACCGACAGTGGCCGGGGGCCGCGGGGTGCGGAAGGGGGGGAGTTGCTTTTAGGGACGGAGAGATCTTGGGGCGCCTTGGCGGAGGTGCGTCAGGCCTTATTCTGAAGGCTTGATGAGGGTAGAAACGACTCATGCCATTATCATAGGGATTTGGATGGGTCGTGTTTGTTTGGTTCTGTCATTTTTTCTGTTGCGTGTGTTACTTTGATGTTCTTTGTATGGTTTTTCTGTGCTCTTTGGTTTGGGCGCTGTCCGCTTGGCTGTGACGAGCAAGAACACCCATAGCCCTGCAAGAGAACATGGCAAGTCAGATGTCATCAAAAAATGTTCCGCATGTCTGTCAGAGAACTATTCAATGATCAAAAGGCGTCAATGGTTGGAATTTGTGGACAAAACATGACAAAACACAAAAAGTCAATTTTGGCAGCCAGTTTATACATGTTCTTAACCAATGGTCATTCACAAATGATGTCGAAAAGCAAAGCCAATACCAACAGTTTTTCACATGGCATCATGAAATGAAATCACTTTCGTTTTCATCTTCGTGATAGATTTCCTCCCACCAACCAGGTTTCCATGCAGGAAAAAACACCATAAAACCTTTCCGGTCTCTCGGAGTCCACGGACCCCATAGCGGCTCCTCCGAGCTTCCGACCTTTGGAACCGCTCCACTCCACGGGCCTCACCGACCCGCCGCCTGCGCCGGTCCCCGGAGGCCCCCGGGGCCGCACTTCCGAGGTCAGACGCCCCTTCACCTGGCAGCGCTTTATGTCTGCGGAGATGTGGTCAAAGTGCTGCTGGCGGCCAACGCAGCGGTGGACGCCAAGAACGGTGATGGCCGGGGGCCTCGGGGTGCGGAAGGGGGGAAGTTGCTTTTAGGGAGGGAGAAATCTTGTGGCGCCTTGGCGGAGGTGCGTTGGGCCTTATTCTGAAGCCTTGATGAGGGTTGAAACAACTTATTCCATCGGAGTTTTGATGGGTCGTGTTGGTTTCATTCCATTTTTGACGTTGCATTTGTGTTGTTTGATGTTGCTGTGTGTACCGCTGGACGTCCAAAACGAAGATGGCCCAGGGCCTTGGGGGTCGCGCCCTGGAGTTGGAATCAGTCGGTCTCTTTCGACCGGATGAGGGTGGACAGGGTTCCGTTCATGGTATGTTTAATATATGTTTCTGGTCTGGCAGTGCCATCTTTTCAATGTGCATATCAGTCGGTCATGATGCTGGAATTGAAACCCCTCTCTCTCTAAAGGTTCCTTTGTAGGTTTCGGTCCCCCTTCGTCACCGGCGGCGGTGGCGGCTCTGCGGCGCCTCAGGTGAAACACCACTGGACGGGGCAAGAAGTCAGGGCCACTCCGAAGTCGTGAAGATCCTGGAGGCGGCCGCGTCCTCGACTGCGTGGGAGACGCCTTCGACGTCGGCCACGACGCAGCGCTCAGATCGACCAGCCGAGGCCAGCAATTAGTCCAACACCACTTCCAGGCGAGCGGTTTAAACAGTCTGAGTCCCCTGGGCCGTTCTTTGGGGGGTGTCGGGCCATATATTTATAGTGTATCAATGAATTGATTTGGATCAATCCATATTCATCGAACCATCCTCCCATCGGAATTCGAAGTCGAGACAATTTCTCTTTTAGAGCACGCGCCACTGTGGCGCCACGCGCGCACTGCGTGTTTCGTTTGTTCAACGCTCGGTGTGGAGGTGAAGCTGCGACCTGTAGGGAGAGTGAGTTCCGGACCTGTAGGCCCCAAGTTGCCATGAACTCTTTGTGTCGCATTTAGATGCATTTAGCCTATATTTGTGTCTCGGATTGAACATTTTGACCCACAAACCTATAGCCTTTTGGCGGACGACATCGTCGATGGTCACAGCTTTTGGTGCGGGTTCTTGAGAGCTCCACCCATGCCATCTGCCAAGCTGGCAGGTGAAAGGTCATCGCCATCGCCGTTGGCCCGGAAGCTTAGCCTCTCTCTTTCCCGGTCTCGAAGGATCGGTGAAGAGCCGGATTCGCACCCCTCAGCCAAGGTCGCAGCGGTCGCAGCTTCCTGGCACTGAGGACATGTCTCACATGAATTAATGATCACTTTCTCTCACTTTAAGTGAGCCAAGAGCGCTGAAAGGCGACAAGTTGCAGCGGCACTTGGATTGCAAAGCGACGGAGAACAAAAACGAAGCCAAGTTGAAGCCCATGTTGTAAAGCGTTGGTTGTAAGTTGTTAACATGTTATACTCTCAGGAACTATCATACTTCTAGTGGCTCTATAGTGGATGACTTGATGACTTGATCTGCCTTGGTTGTTAGACATGTTGGTTGTGAGAACCTCTCATTCCATCTCATTCCAGACTCAAATGCCGAAACCATCGCCACAAGTCTCAAACATCGCCACGAAGAGCGTCTCAAAAGAAGAATTGAATAGGGTTCCGAACGCTCTCTCTGGATGGAAGCAGGTATCACTAGCTGTGCTGAACTCAAGGTGAAGCTGCCAACTGTAGGTGTACCATATATGTGGTATACATCATCCATCTGCACTGTCCGTACATGCCAAGCGCCGATGCCCCACGCCGATGGACCGAGGATGGGTGTGTTTCTTCACCTTTTGGGGGGTTTGGCACCGAGGATGGGTGTTTCTTATTGTTTCTTCACCTTTTTGGGCAGAAAAAAGGAAGAATTTTCATCAAAAAACAATGACATCTGCACGGACTTCATGCGATTGCTCCGACTTTACGGCGCGAGATGCGCATGTGCGGGCCGCGGTGCGTTCGCAGCGGGTTGTTCCCTGCGCTTTCGGGTCACACGCCTGGTGCTTTGGGGTGCGGGGTGCGGGCCATGGCGGGGATTTTCAGGGTCAGCAGAGAAGGTGTGGTGATTTCAAGTATTGACTTCTAGATAACTTGATTGGGACTTGAGGCGGGATACTTTTTCGTTTAGATCTTCTCCAGCAATAATCAACAACAGGGGACAGGTGCTTACATCGATGGCCACGATCCCAGAAGTGGTGAACCTGAAAACATCTTCGACACCGAAAACGGACGCTCCAACAGATGACTAAGACTTTATCCCAGGAGCAATTTGTAGAAAAATGCCACTCCGGAAGTTTTGGGGTAACATCCTTTGGCCTTCAGCATTGCAGCAGCAGTTTTTGCTTGTTCCAGTAAGTTTGAGTTGCAGTTGCAGTTCGTCCAGTCCATGGCGCAGGCCACAACGATGGTGTCGGCGGCGGATCGGCCAAGCTCCCAGGCCGCGTGGGTGTCGCTCGAGGGAACGGGGAGCGGTTCGAAAGGGTCGCTGTGGAGCGATTTCCGTGAACATCTGAGTCGAAGACTTAATAACATAAGCGTTGTATGGTGGAGAGGGTGGTTGACCTGGGAGGCATTGGAAGCAAACGCATTTCAATCCAATTCAGATTGAAGGTAGAACTCATTCATTTTATGCAGAGTGCCTGAGTAGATCCCGACATGGTTTCACTAAGATCATTTCATTATTGTGTGAAGCTAGGAACATTCATGAACTATCTATATATCTAGCAGGCTGCAGGCTTCACTGGCAAAAGCCGAGTCAGAGGTCCAAATGAACTAAAGTTTGCCATGATCAACTCAATCAAGCGTCGATGAGGAACCAGTAGGAGAGCAACCTTAAGACTCGACATGTTTCAGAGAATTTTGTAGGTGTTTGGCATTTGTTGAGTACTCCACGTTGTTTCTGGTTTGAGTTTTGTTGGATGGTTTTCTGACCACCTTGCACCCCAAGGGATTCGTCGTCTCTTGCCCTTTCACCGGGGTGCACGCAACCCATATGCTTCATCAACGTAGCACAGAACCTTCGCCCTCCCTTACCGATGGTGGCTCAACCAGCGATGTTCACCGACTCGACGTCTCTAGTCGACGTGACCTTGTCGCCGCATCGACTCGTGAGAACATTGGGGCGGAAGAATCTCTACTGAGTAGACTCTACTGGTTCGAACAGGATAGGACCCGACCAGAATCGATTCATGGAAGGTTCTGTGCAAATGATCCATTGGCTCGTGAGCCAGCCGAGCTGTGAGATTCATGTTCTATATATGTTCAACCCACCAGGATCATCCTCCAATGGGTGTCCTGGCTAGACTACCCTACCCAATAGTAAACAGGTGTCCAGGGCATCTGGACAGGAAGTGCTAGGTTTATGACGTAAAATAGCAGATAAGACAGGGGCCTCTTAAGCTCGCTTAAAGCTCGCCCAAAACTCGTTTTCAAGCTCGCTTAAAACTCGCTTGTGCTGTGCTGATGTCCAATGGAAGCTCAAGAGTCAACAGGAAAGTCCAAAGCAAATTCAACTGATCATTAAAAAGTTCAAGCAAAACTCAGGGAAAGTCCAATTAAAGCTCGCGCAAAAGTGGTTTCCCGTGGCGTGAGCGTCGTGGTGAGTTCGGTGCTAGTTTATTTCGAGCTAAGCTCGCAGAAAGCTCGTGAAAAGCTCGCGCGCATTCAGTTTTTGAGCTTCGATTTGAGCTTTTGTCTAGTTTTCTTCTACCAAAGCTCGTCAAAAGCTCGTCAAAAGCTCGCGCAAAGCTCGCCCAAAACTCGCTGAGCGGGCGCTTCCCTGGTTTCCCTAGCTCCTTGACTTTCGCTTGAGCTTTCCTTTGAACCTGTGAGTTTTGCTCGGACTTTGCCTTGAACTTTTGAGTTTTGCTTCGACTTGCCTGGTGAGAGGTGAGTTTTGGTTGGACTTTTGAAGTGAGTTTGGACTTTTTTCTATTTTTATTTTTAAGTTATAGACCTCCTTGTCTTATCTAGCTATTTTACATCATAATGCTAGGTATATGTTCCATCTCGCTTCAGGTTCCGTCACATGCCGTGTGTTTTGGGCTCGTCGATGTCCGAAGCGGTCGTCTCGGCGTACGTCTCGGCTTCAGCGGGGCGCCCGAAGCCACGGCGGTGGCGACACCTCAGCAGGTGGCGACACCGGTGAGTGCATGCGCAGTACGTCTCTTTGCAGCCACTGAAGATGATCATGTTCTGCATATAACTATATAAGGGGTACTTGAGGACTTGCATAAAATTTACTACATGTCGTAAGATTCGCAAACTCACTAGAGACAACCCATCCTTTCTATGATCTTGGCTTCCGCCACAAGAACGTTTATTCTGCGGGCCGACCGCTGCATGGCGGGTGTCCATCTGCGCACCACGTGACCCGGAAAGAAGCAGAGTGGTTCTTGGACTGGCTCCGAGTGAACCAAATGGGGTTCCAAGGAGCAACAAGGGAGTACTTGGCAATATGTCAATGTACTGTAGATAGCTCATCCAACCCAATCAACCCGATTCATCCAAGAAACCAAAGACGGGTACCCCGTGTTTGGGGAAGTCGAGACCATGTTGAACAAAATAGCTCTTGATTTGATTCTCTACCATAGGTGAAAGCTTGTTTCCACTGGTCAAGCATATCCGATCATTAGGGATTTATGGGGGTACCCACAGAACCCGCTGGATTGCTCACCAACAAACCCAATGTTAAGAAGCCGTTAGTAATTATATAGGAGTCTTTTGGGGGGCATTCTGCTTTATTTTGATCCAAGAGGAAGGTGCTGTGCTTCGGGATGTCTGGCCGTTCGACCGAGCCCTGTCCATTTTTTGGATCTGGATCTGTCCGGCTTGGGCGTTCTGAGATTGAAGTGACGTGAAGTGACGTGAAATGGCTCCTGACGCAGAAATGCAGTGACCACTGGTCTGTGACTTCATCCTTTGCCCCAAAACGGATCAAACCTGCTGGACCAATTCATGTGGTTGTATTTCTCTACAAAACGTCTAAGTCTAAGTCTACATCGTCGGCCTCTCTGTCTTGTGGGCTGTGTCTCAACATCGCGCTCGCAGCAAGGAAGTCGCCATGCTGATGCAACCGCAAGCGATGATGCCCATGGGCTTCGACCCCAATGCGGCATACTGGCAAGGCCAGAGATCAACCAATGCCCTGTCCATCCCAGAAAGATCAGGAAGGCCTCCGATGGAAGGCCTCCATGTATAGAAGAAAACGATGAACATGCAGCACTTGGGATTGCGAGTTTTGATCAACACACCCATTGGATTTTGGATTAAGATGTTCTTAGATGTTCTTGGGTGTTCTGGGGCGCTCGAAGGCTTGGCCATGACGCAGAGCGGCTGGATGCAACCTCAAGCTCCTCAGGCATTTGGCTCCTTCGGCGTGGGTGTGTGGGGGTGGAACTAGCGTGGAAGGGGTGTGGAGGGCGCTTGTGGCTGTGGGGCACGTGTGGGAGGTCTTTCATCAGACAATATCAGACACTTTCTTTACTCTATTTTGCTCTTGCGGTAGCCGAAGACTCTGTTTGTGGCCGCGTAGGCACCAAATTCCTGATTATAGAAGAAATAGACTCGACTAACTGAAAAACCATAGGCTTGTAAGGCTTGTAGGGCTATAAAAGGTGTGCGCTTTGTAGGATTCACCTGAGTGGCAGCCATG